TAAAACTGACAATTTTTGGGGTAGTGTATTTGCTGACAGTGGTTTCATTCCAATAATTGGTTTGTAGAATCACTTACCTGCTTCTTAAATTTTGTGGAAATTTGGCAGCCTTATAACTGGCCATCTAAAGTGTATCTCACTCGCTGTGTTGAGTATTTATTCATCTTACACCACTGCAGCTATAGAACAGAGACTCTGTGTTGGAGTTGGCACTTGCTGAATCCTTGGGAACATTAACAGGGCAACAAATGATAACCACAACCATTTCCACTTAAAACTCAAAGAACATTATACATTTATTGGTTAGGTTTTATATATTGTAGACATTGATTGAAGAATTTCTGTAGATTTGCAATTCTCCCCATATTTTTAACAAATCGCAGTGGTCACAGGTCTGTATACAGTCATTGAAAAAATATTGGTACCTCTGCATTTCTGTCAGATAATGCACCACTTCGCCTGTATGACGCAAAAATGTGGAGAAAGAAAAAGCCAAATCTGACACATTCCACCCAATACTCAAAAAACTGGACTGGACAAAATAATTGGCACTCATAATTTAATATTTGTTAGCACACCCCTTGGGAAAAAATAACTGAAATGAACGGCTTTCTGTCTGTAACCATCAATGAGTTTCTTACACCTCTCTACTGGAATTTTGAACCACTCTTCTTTCGCCAACTGCTCCAGGTCTCTCAGATTGGAAGGGTTCTATTTCCCAACTGTTGTTTTGAGATCTCTTCACAGACGCTCTATGTGATTGAGTTCTGGAAATCATTGCTGGCTAGTTCAGTACTCTCCAGCACTTTGAAAACCATTTCTGGGTGCTTTTTGACGTGTGCTTTGGGACATTGTCCTTCTGTAAGACCCATGACCTCTGTCGGAGACCCAACGTTCTGACAACCGTGGCCCTACATTGCACCCCAGAATTAACTGGTAGTATTCAGATTTCATAATGCCATAAACACGGTCAAGACATCCAGTGCCTGAAGCAGCAAAGCAACCCCAAAACATCAGTGAATCTCCACCATGTTTGACTGCAGGGACTGTATTCTTTTCTTTAAAGGCCTTATTGATTTTTCTGAAAACAGTAGAATGATGGGCTTTACTAAAAAGCTGTAATTTAGTTTCATCTGTCCACAGCACATTCTCCCAAAAAGGATTTTGGCTTCCCTAGGTAAGTTTTGGCAAAGTCCAATCTAGTTTTTTTTTTTTTTTTTTTAATGTTTCTGTGTCAGCAGTGGGATCCTCCTGGGTTTCCTACCTTAGCTTCCCTTTTTCATTCAGACGACGACAATCATTTGTTGCTTTGTTCAATTTTTTCTCTTTGTGCACTTCCAGGGAGAATAGCTACAGTGCCATGGGCTGTTGGCTTCTAGACAAAGTTGCGCACAGTGGACACAGGAACATTAAGATCTCTGGAGATGGATTTGTGACCTTGAGTTTGTCCATGCTTTTCCACAATTTTTGTTTTCAAATCCTCAGACAATTCTTTGCTGCTCCTTCTCTTCTCCATGCTTCATGTGGCACACAGAGACACACAACAGGTCAATTGTTCACCATTTTAACTGGTTGCCATTGTGATTTTCTATTTTGTCAACCTGTTAATTAATACAGGTGTTTTATTTACAAATTACAGGAGCATCACAAACTTGGAATGCAATTATTTTTTACAATTTTGAGAAGGTGCCAATAATTTTGTCCAGTCCATTTTTGGAGTTTTGGGTGGAATGTGTTAGATTTGGCTTTTTTTTTGTTTCTTTTCTTATTTTTCTGTCATACCAATACAAACAAAAGAAATAAGTTTTCCAAGGGGTGTGCTACCAAATATTAAATTAAGGGTGCCAATAAAATGTGTCAGAATTGGCTTTTTTTTTTTTTTTTTGCCACTTTTTTGTGTCATACCAAAACTTGCAACAATCTTCTGGGCAAAGTGGTGCATTATCTGACAGAAATGCAGGGATGCCAATATTTTTGGCCATCACTGTACATCCCTTTATAAGAGAACACTGGTAAGAAGTCCAAAAGACTACCCAGGGTAAGGGGTCCAAAAGACTCCAGGTAAGAATCCTTCTTGCGTATCCAGTTGATCAGTGAGTTGATAGTATCATTTGCGAATCTCTAGGTCGCCCACGCAGGTCGGAGTAGTTTGTTCTCATTCTAACCAGGTGCCCCAACACAATGGATTATAGGAGGTTTTACCCCTACAGGCATAGCAAGTTTGGTATAAAATGCAGCAACTACTTAAAGGATAAGTTCATTTTAAAAATAAATGTCCACTTTTTTCAGGTAAAAAAATGTGCATTTTACTATTTATTTTTTGAACCTGGAAGGCATCGCACCAGCGATCAGCAGATTTCTGGTGCCATGCAGGACTTCTGCTAATTTGTCAATGCATCTGTGTTCTCTATCTCATACAGGTAAACAGATACACTGTGATAGATATATATCATTGAACTACCACAGCCGCAAAGCCTGTCGGGACTTGGAGTTCATTCATTCACAGTACTCTGTAAAAAAGTGACATCTAGTACAGGGAACTTCTTCCTGTACTGCTGTAACAGGGAGAGAGGACAGTGGGCAGTGGCTGCAGCAGTGGGAACATGTTACGTGTTCCCAAAGGTGAAACTTATATTTTAAGGCTTTCTAGGCTTGTGAAGAGGATGGACTGGTTTTCTAGTTAAGAACAATCTGTTTTTTGTTATTTTTTTTCCTGTGTGAAGTTTCACTTCCTGTACCAAGACACAACAAAAAAGAAAATCTCCCAAAATGAGGGTCGTTACACTCTTAGACAGGTTTCTGTGAAATAGATGGCTCCATTGGAAGATTACTCCCTACCTCTTGTTCTGGGACCAACTCTAAAAATGTTATATTTCTTCTCACTGTCTTTCTTTCAGTTCAATAAAGCTGCTTCACTTCTTTTCTGGTGTTAATCCCTCTTGTTATAGTATTGCGCCAAGTTAATGAAGCATTTACACCACTTTTGGTTCTGAGACCCATGCACCAAATTCAGCTTCTAAAATGCACCGCTTTTACATTGTGTCACATTGAATGTGCCAAAAGTAAAAGTGGAGCTAATTAAGACCAACTTTCTTTTGGTGTACAAAGCAAAATCTGTGTGAGCCAGTTTTTCTCTAAGTGTCTCATGTGCATTCTAAAAGTGGCGCAGCATGAGCCAAATTCAGGTACAAGCTCTGGACAGGGACATGAATTTGGTGTATTCTTCACCACTTTTAGAATGCATGAGAGACCCTTTCGCAAAATCTGCCTGTGCCCATCTTTATGAATTGTGTGTGTGTGTGGTTTTTGTCTTTCTTTTTAAAGTGAATCTTTCAATTCCTCAAGCATGTACACATTGTGAGACCCTAATGCTTTATCAGAAGGATCAAACTCATTCCTTTTTGCATCCAATGCATGGAGCCTAATCTGATTAAACGGTATTGGTACTATTATCAGTTGTTCACTTGTTGTGATAGGTCAGCAGCCAAGTTGCTTATCTTCATTTTAATCCTCCTTGCCCTAGCTTCTGACATATGCACAGGGCAGTGTCATGCAGGTTACAAATGACAGCCTCAATGTACCTTATGTATGCTGCGCAAGAGGCAAGATGGTGGCATCCACTGGGTGAATAATTGCTTATAAGCAGAGTAGATAATTTCTGGCAGAAATTTCTGCGAACACTGGCAAATTAAAAGGCTTCTTTAAAGTGTTTACTAAAATCCTAAAAACCTTTTTTATTTAAAATAACAAACATGTTATACTCACCTGTTCTGTGCAGTGGTTTTGCACAGAGCGGGCCCAAGCCTCCTCTTCTCGGGTCCCCTGCCGGTGATCTTCTTCGTGTGTCCCCATAGCAAGCCGTTTGCTATGGGGGCACACAGTGTCTGCTCGCTCCTGAGCTGTGTGTCTATGGAGCCACGCTCCATAGACTTAAACAGCGGGACTTGGCCCACCCCCACTTCCTCCTCACTACATTTGATTGACAGCAGTGCACGAGTTCTGTGTGAAGAGGAAGAAAGGGAAGAAGAGATGCAGCTGTGCCCAGCACTGGTTCTATTTTCCCCTCTCTTTTCCTTCACACAGAAATAGAAATACTTTTTTTCTACCCTAATGCAAGAAATTGCATTAAGGTGAAAAACCTTTTGAGCTTTAGTATCACTTTTTAAAGTTAAAATGAAATTTGTTGCCTATTTCAGGCCTCATGGTTTGCAACAGAATAGTGTGATAAAGTATTTTTGGAAGATCCTTGTTTTTCTTATTAAAAAAATGTATTGCACATAAGATCACATTTTGTTGAGTAAATAGTAGAATGGACCTAGAGAAAAAAAAAATCTTTTTAAGGTGAGCTTAGGGTACTGGTCAAAATAGGGTGTGTTAAAAACGCATCTCTTCTTTTATAATGTCAATTGGCGACAACGTTTTAGAAGGCACTGCCATTAATTCATTACAGGTTTGTTAATATACCGGTGTGTATTCACAATGAATTCTGATGGATAGTGTCTGCCTATCCCAGATTAAATATAATTTTGTACAAGATTTCTGGTTAGCGAAATTGAAATGATTGAAAGATGACTTGTGGATTTCTGGTCTTTGAATTTTTGAGTAAGCTTGTTTGCTTTAAAGTAGGGCACAACACAGACAAAAAAAAAAAATGGTGACATCAACAGCGGAATTATTAGCTTTTTAGAAAGCCATGTATGAACCCATTAGCTAATTGTTAGAAACAAGATTATGTACAATGTAATCTGCCCAAAACATGTTTTTAATCATGACATAGGATGTTTAATGGCCCACTCAGATAATTTGCTTGTCACAAATTTAGGAAAAGTCAATGGTAAAACAGTAGATGTTCAAATAATTCACATTTGAAGAGGGGAATAAAGTATAAGTGGCCCATGAAGAAGAATGTGCTTGCACAAGCAGGACAACATCTGCTTGCGGATTGTCCTTTAACAGGGGTGACAGGCATAGTTTTTTGCCATTTCTTATGCTACACCACTTCAGTTTTTCCGCTTTTTCATGCTGCTCATTAGAGCTCTGACTGGGTTTGGCTCATTCTCTAGATCTTTTACTGTCTTGTGTTTGGCACAGCAACAGCAGTCCAGCATTTCATAGAGGAACGCCAGCAGGACCAGAGATAGCACAGTCAGGATAAACAAGACCAGGATTACAAAACAGGCAGTGTTCCAGCCATCATGGAATGGGTAGATTTTCTGAACCTGGAATCCAACCTGTTGCAGGATCAGGGTTGTCTCATTCTTCCAGGAACCAAGAGATGACATCTTGGTGCAGGCTCCCCAAAGAACAACTGCAAGAAAAAAAAGAATACATTTTCAGTCAACACATTTTTTATATGATGTTTGGGCTGAATATGACCAAGGTCTCCAGTACTGTTTTGCTCAGTTAAAAACCAAGTACTGTCCAGCTATGTTGAAATGGGTAACCAAGATCCAAACTAACAAATAAGTTTCATTAATTTTTTTTTTTTTTTAATAAAAAAATACAAAGCATGTTCATAAAGGACATGTAGGGTTTTGATTACAGTGACCTTTTTTTTTTTTTTTTAAAAAATGTAATTAAATTTTCAACACCTTCATTCCACTTATAGTGGTTGTAAAGGTAAAAGTTTTTTTTAGCTGAATGTAATCTATGGATTTGGGTAAAAAACCTATTAAGTGCAGTGTCGTCCCCCCCCCCCCCCCCCCCCCCCCCCCCCCCCCCCCCCCCCCCCAATACTTATATGAGCCTGAACTCATTCCAGCGCTGTGCATGTCTGTAGCAACTCTTCTTCCCTCTCCTGGCTCTTTCAGGCTTGGCTGAAACAGCAGAAGCCATTGGCTCCTGCTGTCAAAGCTCCTACAGTCAAAGCCTGTGAGCAGCGGGTGGGGCCCAGCTGGGCTGTGTCTGGGAGTGAGCCCACACAAGTGCCCCCAAAGGAAGGAAAAAAGGAAACTGCTTTCTATGAAGCACTTGGTGAGGAGAAAAGAGTGTGAGCAGGGAACCCAAGAAGAGTAGGATCAAGGCTGCTCTGTGCAAAACCATTGCACAGAGCAGGTAAGTATAGACATGTTTGTTATTTTAATGAAAAAAGGGAAGCTTTACAGTCACTTGAAGGTCTATTATTAGGTGCAATAGACACAGATCTGGCAAAAATGCACATAAAACTGATATATATGTTCAAAATAAGTCGCATGCGTATTTGTGTGATTAGGGTTGTTATGGGTAAAATAAAAAGTTTATTTTTAATTGGCAGTTAGCCTAAAAAATATTTCCTCACCTTTTTTTATTATGTGTGCTTTCTTCTTGAGACCAAAAGTGTGGGGAAACCACTGTAAACTACAGCTGATACTCCACTGAGAGGAAATAAAGAAGGTTCCATAAAGTCATATATACAATCTGAATTGTCGGAAATCACATACTGTTTATTGAAGAAGGGCCATCTCGTGTGTATTGGAGCTTAAAGTGGATTTGTACTTTGCCTATACCAGAAAAAGAAACATGTTTGCTGTAGAGGAGAGACCATACAGTGAGGAACAGAAGTATTTAAACACCCTGCGATTTTGCAAGTTCTCCCACTTAGAAATCATGGAGGGGTCTGAAATTCACATTGTATGTGCATTCCCGCTCTGAGAGACAGAATTAAAAAAAAAATTCAGGAAATCACATTGTATGATTTTTAAAGAATTTGTCTTGCACTGCTGAACATAAGTATTTGACCACCTAAGAAACAGCAAGAATTCTGGCTCTCAAAGACCTGTTACTGTGCCTTTTAAAAAGTCCACCTCTACTCCACTCATTAATCTAACTTAGTAGCACCTGTCTGAGCTCTTTAAAAACACCTGTCCACCCCACAGTCAGTCAGACTCCAACTACTACCCATGTGCAAGACCAAAGAGCTGTCAAGAGACACCAGAGACAAAAGTGTGGACCTCCACAAGGCTGGAAAGGGCTACGGGGCAATTGCCAAACAGCTTGGTGAAAATAGATCAACTGTTGGAGCAATTGTTAGAAAATGGAAGAGGCTAAAGATGACTGTCAGTCTCCCTCGGACTGGGGCTCCATGCAAGATCTCACCTCGTGGGGTATCACTGATGATAAGAAAGGAGAGGAATCAGCCCAGAACTACAAGGGAGGAGCTGGTCAATGACATGAAGAGAGCTGGGACCACAGTTTCAAAGGTCACTGTCGGTAGAACACTATGCCGTCATGGTTTCAAATCATGCATTGCACGGAAGGTTCCCCTGCTCAAGTCATCACATGTCCAGGCCCGTCTGAAGTTTGCCAATGACCATCTGGATGATCCAGAGGAGGCATAGGAGAAAGTCGTGGTCAGATGAGACCAAAGTAGAACTTTTTGGTCTAAACTTCACTCATCGTGTTTGGAGGAAAAAGAAGGATGAGTTGCATCCCAAGAACACAATCCCTACTGTGAAGCATGTGGGTGGTAATATGCTTTGGGGGTGCTTTTCTGTGAAAGGGGACAGGATGACTGCACTGTATTAAGGAGAGGATGAATGGGGCCATTTATTGTGAGATTTTGAGCAACAACCTCCTTCCCTCAGTCAGAGCATTGAAGATGGGTCGTGGCTAGGTCTTCCAACATGACAACGCCCTGAAGCACACAGCCAGGATAACCAAGGAGTGGCTCCGTAAGAAGCATATCAAGGTTCTGGAGTGGCCTAGCCAGTCTCCAGACCTAAATCCAATAGAACATCTTTGGAGGCAGCTGAAACCTGACAGATCTAGAGATGTGTGTGGAGGAGTGGGCCAAAATCCCTGTTGTAGTGTGTACAATCCTGGTCAAGACCTACAGGAAACGTTTGACCTCTGTAATTGTAAAGGCTTCTGTACCAAATATTAACACTGATTTTCTCAGGTGTTCAAATACTTATGTTCAGCAGTGCAAGACAAATAATTTCTTTAAAAATCATACAATGTGATTTCCTGCATTTGTTTTTAAATTCTGTCTCTCAGAGTGGGAATGCACCTACAATGTGAATTTCAGACCCCTCCATGGTTTCTAAGTGGGAGAACTTGCAAAATCGCAGGGTGTTCAAATACTTCTGTTCCTCACTGTAAGCCTTTGCTTATCGTCCCCATGCTCTTCTCCTGCACCAAACACCTGCCAACCAGAGAATTACCTGGAGCGCTCAGGTATGATGGAAAATGTTACACAAGCGCTGCCTCACAATTCAGACAAAGAAACATTTGCTGAACAGGAGGGACTACAAGTCATCTGTGCTTACCTTCCTTGTGCTCCTCTTGTGCCCCAGTCACACACTAGACCCTGGAACTTCCAAGTAAGATGGAGGACTTGACACTGAGCGCCATCAAAGGTTGGAACATGCACCTTCCTTTCTAAGTTTCTTGGTCACTGGTTCTAAACTTACACAGAGACTTTAGGTAGTCCTTTAAAGGAGAAGTATGGCCATAGTTCTTTTGGCTATGCTTCTCCTGTGGGTCACAGGAGTGCACTTGGTTCTGCACTTTGTTCTGCACTCATATGACCAATATTCAGCCAACAGTCAATTAGGGCAGCGGGTAAGAATAGTAAATGTAACCACTATCTGCCTTTGTGGCGTTCTGTAAAGTGCATCTGTCATGTCACCTAAATGGGTAAAGCAGAGGTTCCCTGTAAATTGCTGTTGGTTTTGAAGTAGCTGAAGTAGGAAAATGAGAATATTCAGCTCTACATGGCAGTGAAGTATGAATGAAAACTACAACAATCTTGGCAAGCATTCCCAGTGAACAGAATGAACAGCCACCAGACCTGGATAAATAAAGCTGCATTGTGTTGATTGCAGCAGCCAATTAACCAGCTATTTCTGCACTTGAACATGTGCCCAGTTCCCTGTGAAATGAATTGTAGAGAGGTCTAGATATTTATAATGGTTTGTAATAATGAAAAGCAAATCTCCTTTTAATTCAGAGGTCACAGTGATTGGCAGCAAAATCCTTGTTGCTACTGTGCTGGATGAATCAGCACAGTTACTAGTTTGCTGGGTTTGAGTGCTTCATGGTGGGTGGGCCCAAGGTACCTTTGCCTTACAAAGTGCCTCCCTCCAGCAATGTGATGTGTACAGACTTCCTCATTGCTCTGTCACTGCCACTGCCCTCTTCTCTCAGTCCTCTTCTGGGTTCGGCATCTTCTGCCATCTTAATTTGCCAGCCCAGGATGATGCAGTTCTTGTGCAAGGTAGTTAATTTATTCTGGCATCCACGGCATGCTGAGATGATACACTGAGCATTGCCTATTGCGCAATCAGAAGAAAATTGCTAGCAAGCAAGGCAGAAGCCTTTATGGTAGAAAAGATATACAGAATCTCTTGTGCAATGAAGGACTACCTGCTAGCAAGAGGAATGTATGAACTTTATACCCCTGATTTGTATGGACTTCCTCCCAGGTGCACCGGTTTTGTGCTGTTACTCAAACACATACTAATTTTGGTAAATTGGCTTCTGACTTAATTGGGTTTAGCTTAAAGAATAAGCAAACCCAAAATTTCATATTACTGATATGTGCCTGCTGTACCATGTACTTGCATGAAAAGGTATCCTGTTCTCTTTGTAATCCTGCTGCCTTTGTGTGAGATCACTGTTGTTTGTGCCAGTCACTCTGCTTTCCTATTAAACACTGACCACACTAGGTAGTAGAACACAGCATGTTCAGATATATAGCTGTGCTGGAACTCGGCCTGCTCTTCTCCAGTGACTTGTCCTGACATGCCGCCCCCAATAGCTATTCACTGGGAAGATTAGTGTATTGTTTTGGAGCGCTCACTGTAGCTTTTCTATTTATATATTAGTGTGCTGTTGTTTCTCCTCCCCAGCTCTCTGTGCAGCTGAGAACAGAGTATTGATCACACATAACAAAAAAGGGGAAAAGGTGTGTGTGTGTGTATTAAAATTTACATATATATATATATATATATATATATATATATATATATATATATATATATAAAAACTACTTGTCCATGGACTAAATCGGTGCCCCAATCTACTTGTCCAGATAAAAAAAAATAAATACGTTTTTAATCAAAACTGTATTTAAATCGGAGGTGATATTAGGAATGTCTGGGGCTTTTAAACACAAAATGGGCTTTATGGCGACTTAAACATTTAATATTTTTAACATTGCTCTGTTTATCTCCTCCTGCCCTCCCTGCCTCTCTCCAGCACCGCACCCAGGGACTAGCAGAGAGGGGAGAGACCTTGCAGTGTAATAAGCACCGTTTGGCTGCTCCTCAGGAAAGGGTGGGTCAGGGTTCATCCTTTTATC